ATAACAGACGATGGCAATATTGCTTGCAAGGAAGAAGATAGAAAGTGGCAATCAGCACAGTAGATTCCCCTGAAACCTCTTATATTTTGAGAATAAAATATGAATTCTACATCAAACTCGTAGAAGATGGTGCAGAGACTTATGAATACTCCATTTCCACAGTGAATAAAAAGCAACATCACAATTTCTGAAGTGAATTAATAATGGCAGTTGAGCCAGTTCAGTGAAAGCTTCGATTCCGTAAACAACCATTTGAAACAGAGAGCTCAGAGGCTACCTAACATGGGAGAAAGAATTATCCACCTGCTAGTAGAACGAAAAGAGGCATGTGATCGAGATATGAATATGGCCAATGTAGTATAAAAGTCCGACGACTCACCGCGACCTCCACAGTTCTCATGAAAGAAGGTACTCGAGTAAGACCTTTTTATGCTTTTATATGTTTAGGACTTCATGATATGGATGCTGTCATATCCGAAACTTGTGTTGCAGGTTCATTGCCTTTGACGGTGACTACAAGATGTTAAGGCTGGTCTTCACAAACTTGGAGGTCATAATACTGTGCAAAACGTTTTCGAAAGTTGCTGAGAAGGATTCCACGTACAACACCAACCACAACAGGCATGCCTTATAAAATTACCAGTGACCAAATGTGTGATTCAAAGAATAACTGTACTATACAGTTCAAAAGATAGAGAACGACCCATAGACGTTGGAGATATGTTACAATGTGTTTCAACTTATCATGGCCGACACTTCAAACACGGTGACCTCCATCGTTGACAACATGGCTGTTGAGCGAGGTGCAGTGCTTGTTCCTTGTTGGTATATGATTGGTATATGATTTTAACACGTTTATTCACCATTTCGATAGGTTGCCGAGGCATAACTCACTTTCATAGGCACGTCTTCCGCCACTCTTAAAGATAGTTGCCAGATTACAACCTTACACCATTTCAACAAATATGCAAAGAAGCGAGTGCATGTTTTAGTAGTAACTATGACTTCTTGAAATTAGCTTTCAGTGCAGAAATGGATAAATTATGGCACCATGACTCTAAGAGGGGTAGGGAGGTCATAGTGAACATATACTTAAAACAAAGGGAACGCAATAGATGTGTAGATAAAGTCAGCGTGAGACCTGAAGACGAAATAATGGAAGAAATACTAGCACGGGGGCGGATGGCTCAATTGTCGTTTCAAATGCTGCATTTACTTGTGCTATCACGTTATAGACACCCTTATTTCACGCACGATGCTGGCAAAAATACGGGATTGTGCTGTTGTAATTCACTGAAGATCTTCTGAGTATTATTGCCATTTCAACTGATAGTGAGTCCACACAGAGTCAAGACTGCATTCATTACATCTAAGTGGCCTCTGGACACGTTCGGTAAAGCTTCAATCTCCTGGGTCGGGAAAGCCAGCCTCAACATTTTCTAGTTGTCGTTGGGGATAACACATGACATGTATCGTTCATCTCAAATATCATCCTCTTCCACTAGTTCGGTAATAACTGGTCGGCCACTGTGTAAGGTAAGCGTTTGTAGTAAACGCATATGTGCTTTTACTTGTAGCTGATTTTTATGCTTCCTGTTATTGTTCATTTAAATATATTTCATCCCGGGGAGTATTCGCAGCCTTTAATATTTCTCTTACAGCCTTGCACCTCGCTATCAACTTTTGCCTGCAACAAAAACACTTCATCATGTACAGCACTTAACCCATAATTTCCTTGCATTAAATAGATAACTTTCACCTCTTGTTATTGACGACTTTTGCGATCATCAGGTATGCTTAAGAAGGGGATGTTTTCCATAACAATAGTGCGAGCATCTGGTGGTGCTGTTGTCTTTGATATAGAGCCACTTCTTACACTGCGATAAAGGGAGGCAATGCATTCAGGAATGATAAGCTTTGTCAAGTCAACTAAGCGGTGTACTTGTCCAGAAAGTCATTAAAGAGTGAGTGCGTTCATAATATTGGGGCATCCGCCTATCCGGTCTACTGTTACACTAACCTTCAAATCGTTGTTCATAGTCACTTTTATCAACGCACATTGATGGACCTAATATAGTCGATAAAGAAGTAATAATTAGGAATATATGTATAATAATGGTATAGGTCAGTGCGTTTGTGTGCTACGTGTTACTTTGATTGGTTTATCTTATTCGTATACATCCACAGTCATCTGTTCAATTAGCAACGCTACCACGTGTGGTATAGAGAATTTGAATAGGAATTTATTTATAAATTCAGAATTATGAAACTGTTGAAAATTTGCTATGTAAGGAGCATGGCATCTTGTGAGGCTTAAAAGTGAAAAAGTACAAATAAGTTTGCTGTATTTTACACGTTTAATGTGCAACCAGTAAGCTTTTTCAATTTTAATCTACAATCAATATAGATGCATCATAATTAGTGTAGTGGCATCATTGCTGTTTCCATCAATGAAAAGAATTTCTCTCGTTTTCACCTCAGTGGTTCTCTTAGTCTGTTTCCTGAATAACACACTCTTACGAAATCAAGTAAATGATTGTCGACCATGTATAAGGTCCAAGATAAGCAGTTTCTGCCGTACGTATTCGTTACCAACAGAAAGCATGACGACAACAAAGTCGCCGAAATTCTATACGCCGCCTAGAAAACTCCAAGTGAAGTAGGATATCTACTAACGCAGTCCTTAACCTTTAATTCACGCCTTATATTTCAGCTCCACATCCAAAGCATGAGCTTACTACTTCGATCTCCACGCACTAGGTTGTCTTACGGGTGTCACCTATAATACTCGCAACAGAGTCAATAAAGCTGTGGACGTTTTTGCGTACTAAGATACAACAAGTTTCGGGGACCGTAAGCTGTCGCAACACTACATTCTAAGTGGTTTTAAATTATATGGTCCACGTCATTGGTAAGCACTTAGGTCACCCTGTCAATAACGTCTATATTCATGACTTGCGAAGCTTCTGCAAACTTGAACCATGTGTGGAGACACGAAGGTGAAAGAAGCGGTGTATATTATAAGAAAATGCTTCTTTGTTCACAAGCTAACTTCACTTAACAAAGTGGCACTTCTTAGCAAACGCGGAGGAAACTTGGCAATTTTTCTAGTTTGAAACTTAAACTTTGCAAAACATGTAGGGAAGCACCTGTATCCAAAACTCGATTCTTCGCTGAGAAACCATCACAGTCAAGCCTACTCACACACGAAAGAAGCTGCAGTAATTTGCCTATATGACGTGTTCCCACGAGTTCCGAAAACTGTCCAACATCTTAGATGTCCAGCGTAACCGATGGCAACCACAAACTAACGGAAATTGGTAATGCAGTATTTCTGCATCTACCATCTATTAAGTCACTGTTTGAAGTAGCTTATGCTTGGATTAAGTATTCAACATCCAAAAATAATAACACCAGTAGATCAACCGAGGTCCGACTTCAGGCTGCCGTACTTACATTAGTAATTTTTCTCTTTTCGAGGGGGACAATTGCCAATTCAGTTACTTCCCACCACATAATCAGTATCCCAGGTCTTTGCCACCATTCAACGTCGTATGGATGGCAGTCACATCTTAACATAGGACAGAGAAGCTATGTCACTTGCCTTGTCGTCAGCACCCCAAAGCATAAACAAGCGTGACAGCAAACCTTATTTCTTAGATCCTGCAATATGTGGCGCGAGTGCAGAGATTTTTGCACATGCTTATTAAGGTAAATGAAGAACAGTTCGAAATCACTGCTCTAGTATCTAAGAAAGTCTGGTGAGTGCACCATACAAGTCTGTATCCTAAAGGGATTACAAACTAATTAGTACTCTGTACTGAATACATGACCACATTTACCTACAACGTTTGTATGTATGGGAAGTATAGTTCGAAAACTTGTCTCGACGCATTTCTACTTCAGAAATCGTCTGAAAAACCAGCTGTAGGTTGAATGCTAGACTGATAGTCTTACGTTAACATTTTGTACCTTCCTTCATTTGTATCCACACAGAACCTTCAGTGACGTGTTTAACACTTACAACAGAAAAAAAGACTCTCACAAAGGAGCTAAATACCATCTCCAGGCCGAGGAATAAAGTTTGAGTGAATTCAAACGTTTTTATTCTGTACCCTAACCTAAGTGTGCCATGAGTGCGATTGCATCACGACCAACTACTTTCTAGTTAATTAACTTGTGATTCTGAACGGGTCATGTTACTGCGTGAATCCTTCAGAAGCAACTCCCAAACTGTTCAGAAAACCAGCTACTAGTTTCATGAGCTAACAGCGATGTCTTAGATTTGGTCACTAAGATTTATACTACCAAATTCAGCACCACTGCGAAAAGGGATAATCAGTAGTACTGACACTTGCAAGTTAGGAATACCGATTGATTATTTTGAAGTTTGCTAATCTTAACACAAACAGCAGATGCTTCAGAAGGAAGATTACTTGACTACCTAATATTCACACCAAACGCCTTGATGCTCACTTTCAAGTCCCTTTACCTAGACCAAAACTTTCCACTTAAAACTATCCCACTGAAATAATCAACTTGCATGACAATCACCTAATAACGTACAATGAGGCAAAACTAGAATAAAGAGTAGAGCGATTCAAAAATACTTTATTTTTTCAATAAAAAAAAACAATTGCATTTATCTTCGAGTGCATTAGATCAAGAGGGGATGGGGGTGTAAAGACAACAGAGTGAAAACAAAGAAATTTACCTCACGAGAAGTCATTCGTAATAAATGAATTATATACAAACAAGCATGCGCTGAACATAAGAAACATTATGTAGAAAATAGATGTGTACAAAACTGAGGTTATGTTGATGATAATAATGACGAGATATTTGTTAGGAATTTCTTTAAAAGTTAAATATATTCGTTACTAACGATTATCTGAGTAGCATCATGAAGAATACATATAGTACTCCAGTTAATATATCGCAGGCGACAACATGAATTTCGTAGACTCCACTATTAAGGGGTAGAATCACTTTCCGGATTGTCAAAAGATGAATTCACGAAGGTACATAAGGATCTAAAAATGACAGTATAATCAGACAAATCGGGTGAGATATCAAAAACTCAAAATGAAAACAGATATTCACTTAAAGTGGTCATATGAAAAATGGGGAGGGACAAAAGTATGAGGAACAGTAAAGACATCAACCTTCTGATACTAACACTTCCCAATGGATGCACAACAAAGCAAGGTTATTTCTACTGACGTTTTGCAATTTATTGCTACCAGCTTTAGCAAAGTAGTGGTAAGTCACAGCTTACAACACCAAAACATATACATATATGCATCGGATCTTTTCTGGATGGGTGATTTTGCGTTGTCAATGGGTTGAACATGATAACGAACGTGCTTTTATTGGTAGGTATGGTGACACGTTTTAACAGAAATCTTTGTATACACATTAGTAAGAGATTAAACGTTTTCAATTTTCACGCTTGCATTCAAAAGACTGGAAACAGAAAGAAATTTGCTCACATCATTTCAAAGGAAGTCAACAGTGAAAGTTCACTTCCTACACAATATGACAAAACTTGATCTTATTAAGTCTTCTAAAAGAATATAAAAATTTGGAAGTGAACTCAGGAACAAGATTCGAACGATTTTCAAATAACCAAATAGCAATTATTTGGTACAGCTAGAAATAAGAACAATATGCAGAATCTTCAGATTGTCAATAAAACAAATACTAGTGCGAATATGAACTCACATCAATTAGATAAAATCTTGGTCTTGCAATCTTCATTTGTCTGGAAGGACGCTATAGCTGATGAGTTACTAGAGGAGGTCGAGGCAGTACTATTGTTAGCGTCGGAATAGGCAGGTACGGAAAAGAATCGACCACCAGAGCTCCGAATACGATTCATAGCATGCTTATGTCTAGATTCATGGAGATATTTCCGTCTTTCTTTTGGAATTCGACCTTGTGCTTCTAATTTTGCTCGTGCCTGCCGACGTTTTAAAATTCTGTGATACTGTTTAGCATTCACGTAAAGAGGTTCCTCACCACCAGGAGTAACACCAGGTGATACTGTAGTAGGTGCCTGTGTGGATATTCCTTGCTGACCAATTGCGGTTTCCGATTGTGGGCTGGAAACTTGAACTACTTGAGCATTGGAGACAGCTTGAGATAATGCAGACTGACCCTGGTGGATAACCTGAACTTGTGAGGATTGCTGCAGTTGTTGAAGGATATGCGTCTCATCTTCACCTGTTGTCCCTATAATTTGCCCTTGAGTGGATGTGAGGTTAGGGTCAAGAGAGGCAGCTGCAGCAGACACAATAGGCTGAGTGGTGTATATAGTCTGTTGAGCTGCACTTGGAAGAAACATGATAACCTGGCCACCACCAGCAGATGTAGCCAACTGCACTGGTATCAAGGTACCATCACTAGCCTGTACAGCAAATGTGGTCGGTTGAGCTGCACCATTTGCATCCATTATCAGTGGTTGCTGCAACGGCTGTAAAATTGTCTGAGCCGGCAGGACCTGACCAGCATGTATGTAACCGTCCCTACAAAATATGGATGTAGACACTGTAAAAGTAGTCACAAAATGCATAATTTATAACACAAATAATTGCACGAACAACTTGAGTGTCATCTTCAGACTTCGGAATACGTTTACCAAAAGTCAATCCTTGCAGGAGAATCACTGCAAACCATACTACCGTTAAATGAATTCACTTTTTATACAAGAGGATTGGAAAGGAATAACCTGTTGAACGGTGAAAATCTGATGGATTCACCCTCGTCCAGGACAGAAACCTGTCTAGTTTCCTAGAGTTTGCTATTCTTGAACTTCAGTTAGGCATCCGATAACCATCAACTCCAGGATCTCAGACAATTTTAGTCAAACGGATTTTCTTATGATAATCGTTAGAAAACTTCTTTCCTGTGGGGCTGGAATGATCAGTCAAGTAGACCAATCTAACGGAACTACCTCTGATTCCCATACAATACCTGGTTCATCCGTTATTCAACTTAGTAACTTCCTACCTCCATCCGCAAAAACATTGCGTGATAAAGCGTCAGGTCCTGCAGATCCACACAGTTTCAAGTTAGAGACAGCCTTCTCAACTTCAAGGAGAGTTACAGAACCGCTCAGGTTCGGGTTGCAAGATGGGCTAGCGAAGCAATGCTGTTGTCTAGTTGAATTGTGCCTCTATAGTGTTTCACCCAATATTCTAGCTACCTGTCCAGGAAGGTTATCAGCGTCTTACCCCCTCGATGATAGTTTCAGTAGCCGTTATCCTCTCGCCGGTATCTTGAATGAGCTCAAGTAGCTACAGTGTATTAACTAATACTGATACCTTTCCTATGTTTCTCACAGTTACAAAACCTGCCTCGTTTTCTCAAGTTTGCCGCTCCCGAGCTGCAGTTAGGCCTCAAAGGTTACTTTGCAGCGATGTTCACGTTTCATGGAATTACTGCATGAGTAATGTTGAGGTTAGGAGAAGAGTGCTAGGCAAGATGGGAGAGTTGACGAATGAGATTTCGAACCTTCATCGTCTGAGGTGGCTTGGATATGAACTGCGCATGCAGTCACTGTATCGGATTAGGTTGGGAGGGAATTCATGAGTGGCCAGACCAAAACGCGACAGTGAAAGCTAAGAGGATAAAAAAGGCAGCAATGATAGGTAACGGTGGACAATTATATAGAATTGATAAAGAAACGGGCAGAAAGGTTGGCAGAGGGTTCATGGGTGACCAGACCGAAACGCGACACTAATCAATGAAGTCTGTGACTTTTTGTCTGAGTCGTCCAATGACATGTAATCTGCCTGGCTGGGGTCCTCAAGACGGTGGAAATCAGGAGTTGAGGACTATCGGTGACACGGCTAAAAATTGGTTACAATGGCGCAGACGTATACACTCTTTGATGTCTTCTAAAGCTTGGGTATTTGCACTAACAGTGATCTTAAAATTGTTTATTCTCTGACACAACTTTGTTTACTTTGATATCAATCTTTTTCTATCAGCCTGTCTTTTGTAACCTATTGTGAAGTATGGGAGCTTGAACCGATGCATTTGTGTGCAAGATTCTACGTTGATTTCCTCTGTCTGTCTTGCGATAACCACAGAGGAGCAAGCCTGACGAACGTAGTATCTATGATTCTAGGTTCAATAATCATTAGTTGTTTGAGTGGAGCTAGGGAACAGCATGCGCGAGAGAACCGGATAGGTTGTAGACCTGGTCGTGAGTGCACCTACTAGATATCCACACCAGGTTCCGGAAGACAAGCACAGTTACCAACGCCTATCAATGGCTATATTTGTCGACCCGAGAGCGGTATTCAACTCCGTCGATCATGATGTCATGGTAGTGCCCCTCACTGAAAGGGGTACTAAGTAAGTACATCACTTTGTTGAAGACTAATCGAAAACCCGTGGGGTGTTAGAGCCTATGGTGAGTTGTGTGAGTCTAGTGCTGTCCATCAACGATATCCACTTTATCCCTATCCAGTTTTATCATAGGCACATTTATGGAAGTCTCCCTTGTTGTCTGACTTCCCAGGAGAATTCTTGGTAGACCTACAATATGCAGATGATATAGTCCTGTTAAGCGAAGATGCTGACACGATGAAGTCTTCTGAACACTTTGAGTGGCAATTTGAGAATGTTCGGGACGCGTTTTTTGCCACCCAAATGCAAACTGTTGCTCAAAGACTAGTCTTCAAAGGTGCCCTCTTTAACAATAGGTATTGGAATGGTTGAACGAGTTGAACATTTCACCTACCTGGGAGGTTGTAGCAGCTCTGACGAGTCATTGGCCGACGAAATCTTTGTACGGACACAAAAGACTCAACTAACATTGGCGAACTTGCACCTTTTATGGTACTACTGTGATATCGGATTGCTTTCAAGGGTCGAGTGTGCTGCTCTGCATTTTTCTCCGTTCTACTGCATGGTTGTGAAACGTCGCCATCAAAGGTAGAGGGAAAGAGGCTTCAGGTGTTTGACCACCGTTGCCTTCGTAGCATACACCATGTCATGGTGTTACACGTGAGTAATGAAGACACCAGGTGTAGTTTCAGGGGGGAGACGTATGTCCGTTCGTGAGGTCGCGAACCTTCATCAACTCAGATGCCTGGGGCATACGTTACGCGTGTCCAGTCACCGTCTGCATCCGCATGATGTTAGTTGAATTGGATTTAGGCTGCGAAAAGGTTCGGTCAGACTAAAATATGCCATCATTGCATGAATTCTTTGACTGTTGGTCTGAGCCATGTAAGGAGATGCAAACTAATCGGTTGTGGTCCACGGGAAAACAGAAACCAATAATTAGGAACTGTAGGTGACATAACTTAGACTCGAACTCAGAGGGGTAGGTGTATCCATACATTATTTTGTCATACTGAATTCAGTATGTTCTTGTTCCTCCTTCTCTCTTAATACTTCCTGTCGGTTTTGATCAATTCTTTTTACCTTTCGTCTTAGTGCTTTCTCTATTGAAGTGCTGATATGAGCTGTTGCAGCTTGGACCATTATGCAATAATGCCCGGTACAATGTTGTTGATGATGATAAATAAAAGTCAATCACCTCTTTTTCGGTGTGTGATGTGGACTTTGGTAGATTACGTTGATTTTTGCCATATCTTCCACTGACAACTGCACAAGTAGCTAACTTGTGTGTTTAATAAGACGCACCCAGCAACTTTGTGCACTTTTGTGCAATGGGTCTGTGTGACGGCTCCTGATACTACCCTGGTCGCCCAAACCTCCATAGGTGCGCTCAGTCCAATTTATAGTTACGTCAATGCAGACACTGTAATACTCTCTTCTTACGACTTCATATTTTATCAGCCTAATGAAGCGTGAGTGCATCTAAGAGGAAAATAATAGCATTCATATTCTTCAGGAGTCATATTCTAATGACAACAAGTACATAAGGTTTTAATTCATAAACTGAAGCCTCCCAGCTGCGTTTTATGGTAGAAGCTGTGAGCATTAGTGTACAGCTCTGTTAAGGTATCCGAGGTATTTATCAGTTAGTCCATACAGGCCTCAGATTATTCATCACCAAGACCCCACTACCTGGAAACCCATAAGTTAAATATTTCTTTCTGAGCATTAAATCTAGTAAGAGCACTTCATCTCTTCATTCTGTTTTCTAGAGGCCAGTCTGGGTGTATACTACTGTTCAAGTTGCTTCTGTGCATTATGCAAATATCTTTATTTCCTCAAACTACTTTTAAGGTCCTATTTGGGTTGGGTTTATTTTCATCCTTTTTCCCTAATGTAACCATCCCAAGCAATCTTTCTCCCAAGGCGTGTTAGTGTTTGTTACCCAACAGTTTGCTTCAGTCGTGATGTTCGGAATCACAAAAGTCCTCAAGTCATTGTATTTAGAAATTGGGAAATGGTAATCCATTGTTCAAACAATCATCCTAATTGTTTCGAGCAAACATTGGAACTTTGATTTGATTTTCCACAGCATTTTATGAATGGTATACAGAGAAGATCTGCAAAAATATCTTGAGGTATGCTACTTTAACTATTGGATGCACGTGAACATAGTTTCGGAGCACAATAAGGAGTAGAACAAACTAAATGATAAGCTGACAATGTAATGACCATCAACGGTAGTCGAATCAAGAAAAATCGGAATTAATTCAGCAACTACACGCACTTCCTTGCAGTTGATAACAAGCCACACCAATTATGTAAGCACTAATGATGCCATCTGGTTTTCCAGACTTTGGTAGGCTTAAGATATGTAGAAGGGAGTGACCATAGATAACAACCGACAGTTGTTTAGGAATCCAAAATTTTTATGATTATTGATATCCTGGTGAAAGATGAGCCAGTGGTTCATTAACAAGGGAGAAGACTGGAAAATGGGCAAAAACTGAACGACAGTTCAAGCGAACTCTAACCACTCCTTAGTTGCCTCCTATTTAGTCAAATCTTGGATTAAGCATAAGGACAGCGCATATCATTCTTGTGGAAGTTTAGGAGGCTGTCAGTAGCCTCAAACGAGGAAGGGCAAAGTGCTCCGATGACTTTGCACTACAGATGATTAGAAACGATGGCCAAAGATCACTGGTTAGGCTAAATGAGGTGTTAAATGAGGTTTGGGAAACATATACAACCCACCTGACTGGTTATAACCACTGATCGTCCCAGTCTTTGAAAAAAAGGAGAAATTCTTGAGTGATGATCACAGGTGTATCAGTTTGATGAACAGTGTCCAAAATCTTACTTCCGACAGTTGTTAAACAGATGAAATCAACGTAGAATCTTGCACACAAATGCATCGGTTCAAGCTCCCATACTTCACAATAGGTTACAAAAGACAGGCTGATAGAAAAAGATTGATATCAAAGTAAACAAAGTTGTGTCAGAGAATAAACAATTTTAAGATCACTGTTAGTGCAAATACCCAAGCTTTAGAAGACATCAAAGAGTGTATACGTCTGCGCCATTGTAACCAATTTTTAGCCGTGTCACCGATAGTCCTCAACTCCTGATTTCCACCGTCTTGAGGACCCCAGCCAGGCAGATTACATGTCATTGGACGACTCAGACAAAAAGTCACAGACTTCATTGATTAGTGTCGCGTTTCGGTCTGGTCACCCATGAACCCTCTGCCAACCTTTCTGCCCGTTTCTTTATCAATTCTATATAATTGTCCACCGTTACCTATCATTGCTGCCTTTTTTATCCTCTTAGCTTTCACTGCCTATCACTGTTCGCGGTCACTGCGTAGACTTTGTGTTAGTCTACATTCCAGTTGCGTTTGCGTGCACTTGTTGATTTAGCCACTGATATCCACTGGCTTTTGTTAACCACCTCCAGAGAGTTCGCTGCAGTCTTCAACGCTATCTTTACAGTAGACTGGAGATGGCACCAAGCTTCTTCTGGATGAGTAAGTGTTCTGTTCCGATAACTGCATAGTCAGTTTCTTACTGAAAGCGGCGTAATGCTCTTATTGTCGAGCTGCTTTCGTAATGGTCTTTTTGCTGAAGTTTTTCTATCTAAACACGCTCCAGGAGAAGCAGCGGTCTCCCACTGACCCTTTCCAGCGATGACTAATATAAAAGTGGTCTATACCCATCGCTGAGTCTAGCTCGGCGGACAACACGTCAGAAAATGTCTCCTGTGTCTGTTTGTGCTAGTCAGAAATAACCGGTTATCTGAGCATAGTTGTAGTAGGCCTGGTGAAGACTGAAAATACTAATTGGCCGCCAAGTCCTGGATAAGTAGAGTGCGGCTTGGACCTGAAACCTAGTGACTGGAGGTCACGTGCTGAAATTAATGAGCCATAACTGATGGTTTGCACCCTAGGTGAACATTGTTGACGGATCGCTTGTTGGGCTGCCTCTGACAGACTTGGCTCTCCAGTCGAGAAAGACTAAGCCTAGTACCCACAGCATCTAACTAGTGTCACACTAGTATAATCGTTAGCGTAATGAGAAAAAATCAGAACCAAACCTTAGTTACGTTGAAAACCAAGACCTTACATCACTACAACATAGCTTTTGTGGTTACCCTGGCTAACTCACCTCTTTATAGTAAGCAAGGAATAAGTAGTAACTTGTGACAAGTTGGCGGCATTGTTCACCTACCACTGTAAGGCCTCTAATAGTATCATACTTTGGACTAATGAGGAAATTCTATTTTAAGGTTTGGTTGTACAATATACTTCCGGAGTGAAGAATTCCTACGTTAGAAGAGGGAATGTAGATGGGATACTATTAAATTCAGTCAATGTCAACATGAGATTTTGTATCACTGTGTAACGGCCTAATCTGTGACTAGTTAGATACATGGTAGTAAGATAAAATAGTGGCAACCTGTGAGGAATAAGGTTCCTTAGGGAACGACCTTCAATAATCTCCTTTCCACTTTGCCAATCAACTGTCAGTCTTTACATCTCAGGTATTTGCCGGCGATGTAAAACATAGAAGGCGGTCCGTAATAAGGCAGCAATGCACTGCAAACGAACTGTTCAATCAGTCCAAATGCTAGTGCTTAGAAACTATTTGTAGTACACATGCAGCAATACATACTGATGATGGCACTTGTAATCAGCATGTAGCAGATGGGGGCATAAGTGCCTACTTGTAAAGAAATATAGTACATAGGAGTGTTCATCCGTAATGACGAAGTCATTTACATACAGTAATGCAGCCTCAGCAAAAGTTCGAACATATCGGTCCCTTTGACTTCCCCAACTCTGATAGATATACCTCAGATATATTAAACTGTGTACATACAGCTCCACCTCATATACTACATTCAAGCACCAAGTCCCGGTTTTAGGAGAGAATCACGCGGAGGAAGGCGTTTCAAGAGTCGGTGCAAGGCAAGTGGGCAGTCTATCGGAAGCGTTAACGAATGAGAACTCTTGCGCCCTCATGTCGAATGTTTTCTTTTTTGTAATCCATAAAAGTAACTGGATGTTTGCAAAGAAGCTTACTGCAAGGATCGTCACGAGATAAGTGTCATTTTCGTGCATGAAAACCGTAAAAACGGGGTTCAGCTGTGCAAAGTCGGACATGCCTCACTTTACTTAGAGCTTTACATTCGAATAATGCAGAAAACTATCTTATATAAAGTACTGAGAGGAAACGCTTCAGTATCTAACGTGGATTACATCCGATGTTACATAAAGTAATGGATGGCATTATATGTGACGCGATGAGAACTAAAAGCACGGCGCAAATATCTTCCCGTACATGAACATGGGCACAGAAAGTGAATGTCTGTATCAAAACGTCAAAGGATAAGAGTTCGGGTATAAATTTCCATCACAAGTGGTAACCAAATGACATCATTACCTAGAAAGTACTAATTTACAGTCAACTGCTATATCAGCTTTCATACATAAATAGTAAAATTATTATTTTTTTGGATTAACACATAAATAACTCACATCATTGGAAAACAGGGTCGTTTCTGCGGTTTCTTTCAAAAACGCTAACTCCGGGAACGACCTTTTCAGAAAGGTTGCGAAAAATGAATTCCAGCTCATTTTAACAATTGCCGTTGTGAAATGCGTCTGAAGCGCTTGCATCCACTGAAAAATCTTCGGGATGAACGAATTATATATGAATGTTGTATGATTGGTAGGTCAAAAGAAAGTTAGATTGATGAGTTTTACCATTGGTGCATCAACTTCTACTTGACTCTCGCTTATTGGGTCATGCTCACATGCACGTATCAGTGATAGGTCGACACTTAGGTGATAATCGCTTGCTGGGATTTTCAGTGGCTTAAACTGTTCAGCGGTCAAAACTAGCAATTGAAGGAATTGGATAGTTTTTATTGCATAGAAAGCGACTAATAAGCAATGAAGTTGCTATTAAATTATAGGCCAATGGATTCTAAGATAAAGTGTCCTTAAAACATCTTTCGACGGCCAATCAAGATTATGAGCTTCATTTCATGTTTATGAACGAATGGCAAAATCAACACCCCGGTAGCTACGAAAACCAGTACTATTGAAGTCTGTATTCATGAAATGCACACATTAAAACTGATAGCAGCAAACTGTATGTCGTTGTGTAGTAAGATGGATATCAGATTTTCGTCTTTAATATAGGTCCTTCATTCTTACCTACCCAGTGACTAGCCAATTAGAAATACGTAATCAGATTTTAAGCAAACTGTGTATACAGACTTAGGTTTCGAGAAGTAGATTAAAATAATTCTGAGAACTTAGTAAATTTCGACAGTATTTGGCTCTGTTTGAGTAAACACGGGTTCATAATATGTGAGAACTTCGCTTTTGTCGGAACTGGCCTAGCCGTAATCTGGTTTGTGGTTTCTTCAGTGGTTTGTAACCATTGCACGTAATCTCCTACATAATAGCAATGGAAAAATATGGCAGAATATCTAAGCCCTCCTTTCTTTTATCCTCAGCAGTGATTTTTCTCCATATCTTTGGGAACATATACTTAAGTATATATGCATATATATATATATATATATATATTGTTGAGCAACTACATCATATTCTCAGCGTCATACCATCCAATGTTGAAACAGCTAAAGATGGAGTGTATCTCTGATTAACGAGGACTGTAAACTCTCGAGCTGCTACCGTAGCGTGGCAACCAATATATATTTCGTCGTGAAGCTGACTCTTTTTGTTATTTACCTTCTAACCAAAGAATAGATTTTTTTTATTGTCAAATGTTACAACGAAACTATTACGCTTTGATGAACACACCGTCAGTCAGGCAAACGCGAGAGCACCTACTTATGATAAGGAAGAAAACAACCCTGGAGTTTCGACAAGTCCTGGGTCCTAATTTTCATTGCTGGTTGGTTGATACTGCCTTTGTCTTTGTCACACCTTTATACGAGATGAATTAAAGTTCTCGATATTTTTTCATAAATAATATCTATCTTGAGGTAGTCATAGATGTAAGATTGTACCCGCCCACTCTAACCAGTTCCACGCACACTTGGCCTCTAATTTCACTGAATGTGTTCCAATGAACCTCTAAAATACAATTTCAGTTTATTGTAACCGTTTGCGTCGATCTGTTTTTACCGAACAACCAACTGGTTAAATATGTTAACCACTGAATAATCACCAGTCTTGGTGACAACCCGGACAAGGAGACCTCAGAAAACCCTCAAACCACAGAAAGCTTTTAGGTCGAACTGATTTTGTGACTGTTGCCAAAATGACAGTCACAACCCCTTCCCTACATTCGCAACTACAAAACTGGAAATTCAATGTGCAGTAATTCAAAAACTGGAGGTCCAGAAGTTGTCCGGTACATCAGTACATGCGATCGTGAAGCGATAACACTCGAATTTACATTCAACATAAGGCTAATTTCCGTCAGAGGTAATCGCGGAAGGCTATAGAAGTGAGCTTGAAATCTCAGTTTCAGGCGTTAGAGATAACTAGTTGGGTTTTATTCGGGGAAACAACATGGATGGTGTGCACAGATGGTGGCTTTTAGTCATTCTGGTTCAAACAGAGAGCTTTAATTTTATCCTAGACACCTTCCAAACTGGCAGTCAATAGTGGTAGGGAAGAGAATTTTACTGCACCTTAGGTTTATTATCTGTCTTTACTTATCAGCTGGAGGTAGAAGAGGGTTAAGGGCAGTTGGCGGTTCAGTTCTGCTAATATTCGACGAAGCACTCGCTGAAATTCGACTAGTAACTCCACTTATCTGATGGTCAGGTGAATCTTATGCTGCCCAAGCTTAAGTGAAATGGTGTTACACTTAAGATTATCATGATAAAACCGTTTCAACTGGTTGTGGGCGGAACAAAAGAAGCTTTCGCTCAACCGACTTCGGCATCTAGAATTAGTAGACTGTGTCTGAGAACCCGGTATAGAGACATAGAAGAGGAAAATGAATAAATGGGAAAGACCAAGGTGACATTAGCTTAGTCTGTGAGTGCACACCGACATCGAAAGTAGACACCAAGTGTGTGTATTATGGACCCCGATGATGTAGCCTGACAAACTTCCACCGAGGGAGTATTCCAAACTCTGAAAACTCTTAGGGGGCATAAGTTACTCCTCATGCTTTTGAAACTGTGTTCAGGTTCTAACGTAGGGGTGTTCCTCCAGAGATTCGTATCAGAGCTCAGCTTAGGCAGGCGACGAGTGGGTCACCTGAGATGTATAAGGCGTTATACATCGTTGGAAGCCACTCCTCAGTCGTCTACATTTTGAGGGAAATAGATTCAGCGCTGCCAAGCGTTCACCGTATGGCTTGGGAGTATTCGAAATGGTTCTCGTTTTTCTAAATTAAAAGACTATATTCTCAAGTCTGGAAGGGGCAGTATGAAACCACTGAAGATTTGGTGGAAACACCTCTGTTCAGGCTGTCCAAAGACTGGCTATGGGGCTATAAGTGCAACACTTGCTTGGGATGCATATTTGTCACGGTTAGCGGGAGATTTTAGAGGGTTGGGGCCTGAGACCCCAACGTCTTTTTCTATCAGGGATACCTTCAGCTCCGTGCCATTCAGTTTGAAGGTTTGACGTGCACTGAGCCGCACATATGCATCGCCTTATACTTTTCTGAAGTGTAGGTTAGTTCATTGTAAGCTGCCCGGTTCCGAAGTCGGGTCAAACCATCTTGCAAAGTATGCTTGTTGTTTTCATCGCTTACTTCCCTACCTGGCTTCACACTGTCGGCACAGCGGAGAATTTCAGGAAACATCTGAATAGGTAATTCACTGGCGTAAATGGCGAAGGGGAGAGGCCTTCTGAGAAGGACTCAGGAGACTCAAACAAGGCATTCTGTCTATTTGGATATGGCAGAATTCACTCTGATTTTAGCGAAGCGGTTGCTTAAATGTGATGATGGCCAGCCAATCGAAACTGAAAAGATTCCTGCCGACCTTAACGTGTTGATGAGGCGGTCGCCGTTGACGCGATCGACAGCCTTAGGAGACTTGAGGTACCTGATGTCCACTCTACCCCTGCAAAAGGGGCAGACATCGTCAGCAAGGCTCGAAACTGCGCGGAGAGGTGTGACCGGATATCAAGTTCGACGTCCTAACCATTCGATCGTCCTAACGGGTATTCCAACCTGGGTAACCTGCCTGAAAGCTAGGAATTCTAGCCACCGGACCACGAAGGACAATAATATGTAATGCGATGTGATGTCAGATGAATTGGGTGTGGTGCTGTTACAAGAAACATCATGGTTACGACTTTGAGAGATTATTTATTGCACATGAGCATTTTCATCCAAATGACGAATGTCTCCGTAATCACCTTCCAGCTAGCGGTAAATATGCCAAACGGTAGTCTGATAGCAACTCCCTAGGTACTCTGCCCAATTAACCGTACGTCTGACCTTTCCATCGGGAAGTTTTCGCGTACCTCCATTCGTCACCCACGTGTGGTGAAGCACTTTTACATTCTTCGGCCAGAAGCTGAGAGTCGAAACACGTTTCAACTCTTTCGCGGTTGCACAGCAGCAAGATAAGGTGAATGGGTGAAGGTGGCCCCACCCTAAAAAATCAGTTCCATTGCAGTATGACTCACTTACCAAAGGTGGCACTTGACAGGCCGTAGGTTTCCTCAGCCTTTTCACAGGTGAGATGCGTCCGCCAAATCAACCAGTCATTACACAACGAAACGTTCGTGGTGGAAGCGAATGATTTCGGAATCCTTATGTGAGCTATAACTGAGGCAACGACAGCCCTTAGGCTACCAAGTCTACCAGTCTTATCCGTTCCTTAAACCATGGCAGACAGAGACTAGTCAGTTCCCTTCAGTAACCGAAGCAGGTCTTTCAGAATCCACATAAGAAACCTCTTAATGTTCACAAATCAATATAATATTGGTACCCCGTCAGTGCCCTGACACGATCTCTTGAAGCTACTGCTGGAACATCGAATACAATATCTCCTTGTTTTCCTTGATATTCAGTACCCTCTAAGTGTACTTATTTCCTGGAACATGAGCTTAATAGCTACATTTGCTCTGTCTCTTTTACAGTAGGCATTACGTGAATTTTCTATCGTATGAGAAAGATGGATGTCCACTAATCTGTTGCCTTGTTTTTGCTTCTGCCTTATCTCGGTGATACTTCCACTCAAGGGCCCAAAACGGAACGGCAGGATGCTGGCCGTCCAAGAGAACGCAACAAAAGTTGGTCATCAATATGACCATGCAGTAATTTTAATACCTGCTGAAGTTAACTATCATTATCGTCGATTCTGCAGCCTATGCCTTATGCCGTTGCCTTCCCCAAGCGTCAGTAGAGCCTATATTGGTTCTCTTTTGTTGCTAGTGTTGTTCTCAAGGAGAAAGATTACGTGACTGTGTATAAGTGAAACTAACCCTATACATTACCCCTATCCTCTAAGTAGCACTTAGAATTCTTCATGTGCAAGACAGAAATTTCGTACCCCTTGCTTTCATGCCGGAGGGGAAAGTATACCAT